TTACATTGTGCAAAAATACCCCTCTATCAAAAATTTGACATAAATTAGTGTTGTAATATTTGTTTTACTCTTTTACTTTTCTGAAAATGTCCAAGAAGTTATATATGCTAATCTCATAGTACAGGAGTATTATCTGCACATTACCATATATATATATATCTAAACTTTTTTTTTTTAAAAAAAAAAAAAAAAAAAGAAAATTGAGAATTTGTGGAATAAAGATTTGAATTTTTTGATATTTCAGTTTACTGTTTTCTACTTTTTTTTTTCTTTATTTTATTTTATTTTTCGTACCAACACTGTTAAAAAAAATAAAAAATTCCAATATCAGTGTGCACTAGTTTTTGAAATTTGGAGCAGATTTGTTTTCTTTAGTTTTTACTTTATTTTCGTTTTTTATTTTCTATTTTTATCTTTACTTTACTTTTATTCTTTTATTTTAATTTTAATTTTAATTTTCTATGTTTATCTTTATTTGTTCATTATCAGCGTCCTCCAATAGTGTCTTTTTCGGTCATTTTACAAAATTATTTATTTTTATATATTTTATAAAATGATTCAGTAAGGATAATTTAGTCAACTTAGAATCTAAATTTGTCAAAGAGGCCCATTTGTATCAAATTAAAACTTTATGGGTGTTTTTTGTTAGAGAGGGCGTCCTCTAATAATATCATTTTCCATCATTTTACAAAATTATTATTTTTTATATATTTTATAAAATGTTTCAGTAAAGGTAATTTAATCAACTTAGGGTTAAATTTATAAAGGTAACTTATTTGCAGCAAATTAAAACTTTAAGAGTGTTTTTTTATATTTGAGGGTGTCATATGTACTGTAAACACACTTTAGGATTGCTTTCTACCCTTGACCCAAACAAATTTTTGATAGGGTGACAAATTTCTATTGAAATAAGATTGAATGCAGTACATAATTTGATTCACAACTGTCGCACTTATGCGTCTTTACACTGATGATACTCGTGAGCCGTCGCATGCAATGAATTGAGGATCAAGTGGTGATTAAGAGAATAATTTTATCATCAATGACAACTCATAAGATTAGAAACACAAAAAAAAAAAAAAAGAATATAGGTGCCAAAGATGGGCCTTCTGTTTTGTATGGGGACATGGAAGCTACTAGATAAAACGGAACACACTTATGAGTTGAGAGTCTTGTATCAATTTTAGAAGCTTGCTATTCCACGGTACGTATTTTTAACCTTCACTCACATTCGTGTCAATTTTTAGTTTAAAAAGCGTGTGAAATGTTATTTATGTCCTTACTTATTTAATATATTTTATTAAAAAAAATCAAATTTCTTAAAAGATGAAAAAAGTACCCTAATTATTACAGCAAAACTTCTTACTCTCTTTCACACATGTATAAATACACATATTAGTGTGTGTATATATATACGAGGATACCAAAAACGGCCTAGGCCGGGTGCGATTCAGATCGCTAGAAACGGGTCTGACAAGAGCAACCAATCTGAACCAAGACTTCACCGGTTAGGCCCCGGACTAAAAGATTGTGTTAGAAGCCTGATTTCAGATAAAAGAAATTGAACCCATAACTGAAGAAAGCCCAGGAGATCAGCCCAACACAAGGAATTAGTTAAGAAACTTCTAAAAAATTTGTAACAGTTTATAAATAGACTAAAAATAGAGGAAAAATGGGTTGAAAAATTTCTTAAAGGGTAGAATTATCCTTTCTAAATAGAGAGTATTTTTCTGGCATTTTCAATATATATATATATATCTTCTTTGTAGACTGGAGACCGTGAATCTACAAAACTCAACTTTGGTATTGTTTTCCATTCGATCCAATCACACCAAAGATCCAGATAGAGAAATACAAAGCGATACTAACAAATATATAAAGTGTATATAGAATGAAACACAGTGAGTTTGATGAATGCGCCACTTGGCTGAGAATGAAATATGGTGAATCAGATTCCAAATTCTATAGAACTTTCATTATTAATGGAACATGGTGAATTTACTGAGCATTAGTAAACATTTTTGGTGAACACATTATTAAAAATAGTTTGAGTTTTGACTATTACACTTTTATCTATTGGCTGATTCAAATAAAAATCAGATTTCTTAAAAGATGAAAATAGACTGATTCAAATAAAACAAGCAAAAACAATAAAATTAATGTTTCAAGGATATTTTGGATTTTCTAAAGCACTCATAAGATTAATGTTTCAAGGATGAAGAGAGTTTGTGCATAAAAGAATCCATGATGATGATTTTGAAGATTTAACTTGGAGCAGTGATTTCAAGAGGACAAAGGTTTCTGAAGAGTTTCCCGGTAGCCCAACATATTATCATATGGACAGTGGTGGTTCCAGTTTCATATAGGGAAAAAAAAAAATCCTTTAGCATTTAACGATTTATACAGAATTTCAAAAAAGAAAAAAGAAAAAAACATATTTCTAATCATGAATATATATTTTTATTTTAAGGTAATATATATATATATATATATATATATATATATATTTGATGTTTGATATAGATCGAGATTGAGATCAAATCCATTGGATCGGGCGTGTAAAAAAACTTATTTGCAAAGAAGATTTTTATTTTGTTGCAAAGTTTATGTTAAATTTTTATTTTTATTTTTTATTTAAGATTGATTTTGATTAGTAATTATGGATTTCAAATTTTTTTTAGTGTCTTAGAACTTGTGTGAAAAGAAGGAAAGAAATGGATGTATGATTTGTTTTGATAGATTGATGATATTGAATTGAATGGAATAAGTTACGAAGAAATAAAATGTTTTTTCCGTCAACAATATTATTATTATTATTATTATTATTTGATAAGTAACCTAATGTGTTTTACAATACAATAAGCATATCTAATTTTTTACAAAATTTTGACAGTTTTTTAATCTAAGAGTATAGGGAGTGCCTAACAATGTACCACTTAGATAACGTTCCCGGATTATAGTTGTGTTGATAACTATTCTTCTTGAATGATAGATAGAGAAGGAACAGATAATTTGTGTCGCTTGGAGAATGTTTTAACATGATTGTTTTGTTTGGTTGATGTGACAAATAAGCTCTAGTATTTATAGATCAATGGCGTTACAACTTATGAGTCAATGACTATTATGATACTTACAAGTGTCCAGTGTCGTAGAAGGACAAGTGGGGGCAACTGCCCCCACTGAACTTTTAATTTTTAAAATTTTTTTTTTTTTTTAAATTTTATATGAAAAGATTTTTATATATGTATTCTAAAATTTAATTGTGCACATATATATATATATACACACACACACAATATATATATATATATATATATAATCAAAAGCTCATTCACTGTTTTACACTTTCTCATAGAATATAATATTTTTTCTACTTTCCCAAAATATTATATTCTATTTTCCCAAACAATATGATATTTTTTTTGACTTTATCAAAATATTATATTCTTTCTCACTTTTTTCAAAAAATACAAGATATTCTCACATTTTTTACTTTACCATAAGCAAATGCGTTGTTTCCAATGCATTTTCAATTTTTTAGTCTTCAATATTTTTCTTTCCACGAGTCTTCAACATTTCACAAATTCACAATCCAAAAAAAGCAAGCAGAGCAAGCATACCACTTTACCAGTAGATATAAACTCGGTAAGTCGCACTATTTTTTTTTTATCAACTAAATTTACAATTATTATTTGATATTATAATTTTAATGAGAAAAATTATTAGTTATTTCTATCAAAATTATTTTAGGGCTTGTTCTTTCAAAATTTAGTTTGTGTAATTGTGTTACTAATTTTTATTCTATAAATAAGACTTAAAGAATTTTTTTTTATTTGCCCCAAATCAATAAAATCACATATTCACTTACTCTATCAAATTTTTCGATTGATTGGATTATATGGTTTTAACTTCTAAGGTTTTAACTTATAAGGTTAGTTATCTTCATATCTTTGCTTTTTATTTTATTTTTAATATGAATGAATTTTTATTATGAATAGATTAACAGACATGATAGTTATTAAGAATGTTTGTTATCATGAAATTTTTTTGAATGAAATTGGTTATCAATTATCATGTAATTTTATTTTTATTTATTTTTACAGATGTCATATAATATATTAGAACAGTTAGATTTAAGTAACTACTTTATTTTCTTTTTCATTTCTTATTCTTCATTCATTGAATATGATTGTTTTTTTAGTATATTTATTTCATTATTTGAATGAACTAATTTTTGAAGCAATGAATAATCTGAAAAGATATTACAAAAGAATACAAGACTTACCATCCCCTCAACCTCAAGAAAGAAATGATGACAACTCAAAAAAAAGTTGTATGAAAATTAACTTACCAAATCTTCCTTTATATCAACCTCAATAAAGAAATGATAACAACCCAAAAAAAAGTAGTATGGAAGTTGACTTACCAAATCTTCCTTCAAATCCTGGGTTATGAACTAGGATTAGATTACAATCCCAATATTCAAGACCAAATTCGCAGAGTATATATACTAAAGGATCCTTGTCAGCTTCAGAAACATAAATTTCCATAAAAGAAATTTGGACAAGCATCAGCGTTTAGACTATTTAATCCTGATTGGTTTAATGATTATTCTAATTGGTTAGAATACATCATTTCAAAAGATGCATTATTTTGTTTATATTGCTATCTTTTTAAGCATAATATAGGAGAACAATTAGGTGGTGACTCTTTTGTTAGTGAAGGATTTTCAAATTGGAAGAAAAAAGATAGACTTCAAATTCATGTTGGAGGGCCAAATAATGCCCACAACCAAGCTTGGAATCAATATGAAGCTTTAAAGAATCAATCTCAAAACATTTAAACAATAATTTTCAAGCAATCAGACCAGACTCGAATTGATTATCGAAAGCGTTTGACTGCAACAATTGATTGCATTTGGTATTTGTTAGAACAAAGGGCTTGCATTTCGTGGTCATGATGAATCTGAGCATTGAAGTAATCAATGAAATTTCCTCTAGCTTTTAAAGTTTCTTGCTAATCATAATGAGGATGTTAAATCAGTAGCATTAAAGAATGCTCCTCAAAATCTTAAGTTAACCTCACCTGATATTCAAAAGGATATTGTGAATGCTGTTGCCATTGAAACTATTAATGTTATTATTAGTGATATTGGAGATGAACTATTTTCTATCATGATTGATGAATCTCGTGACATATCCACAAAGGAACAAATGACTATTGTATTTCATTATGTGGATATGGATGGTGATGTAATTGAACATTTTATACGTGTGGAACATGTTACAAGTACCACTGCTCTTTCGCTTAAGATGGCAATTGATGAACTATTTTGTAGGCATAGACTAAGTATAACTAGATTGCGCGGGTAAGGATATGATGGAGCTAGTAATATGCAAGGCGAATTTAATGGTCTTAAAACACTAATTTTAAAGGAAAATGAATGTGTTTTTTATGCCCATTGTTTTGCTCATCAACTACAGTTGGCTCTTGTGAAAGTTGTAAAAAATCATGTTGATATCACTACTTTTTTTAGCTATGTTGCTAATGTGGTCAATGTTGTTGGGGCTTCATGTAAACATCGTGATATTCTTCATGAAAAACAAGCTACCATGGTTATTGAAACACTCAATAATGGTGAAATTGAAAGTGGATGGGGTCTTAATCAGAATACCACTTTGAAGCGTGCTAGTGATACACGTTGGGGCTCTCACTATGATACTTTAATCAACTTGATTTCCATGTTCTCATTTGTTATTGATGTGCTCGAGATAATTATAGATGATGGATTATATGTTGAACAGAGATCTAAAGCAAAAATTTTATTGACACTCATGCAGTCGTTCAGTTTTATCTCTACTCTCCATTTAATGAGGGCTATATTGGGAGTTACAAATGAATTGTCAAAAGCGTTATAAAAAAAAAAAAATCAAGACATTGTAAATGTTATGTCCTTGATTAAAGTATGCAAGAAAGAACTTCAAAAGATGAGAGAGAATGGTTGGGATTCTTTACTTGATCAAGTTTCTTCTTTTTGTGAAAAACATGGTATTGAAGTTTCCAACATGAATGATACACTTGTAACTCCAAGGCGATCACGACATAACGCTAATTAAATCACAAATTTGCATTACTATCATGTGTAATTGTTCTATGCTGTGTTGGACATGCAACTTCAAGAGTTGAATAGTCGTTTCAGTGAGTCAAACACTGAGTTGCTTATTTGTATATCGTGTTTATGTCTAGATGATTCATTCGCTTCTTTTGACAAGGAAAAACTAATCCAACTTGCTGAATTTTATCCAAGAGATTTTGCTCCTTTAGATTTCCTGAAACTTGGTGATCAACTTAACACTTATATTATTGATATGTGCTCTAATAAGGAGTTTTCAAATTTAAAAGGATTTGGTGATCTTGCTCGAAGAATGGTTAAGACAAAAAGAGACAAGGCTTATCCATTAGTTTACTTGCTTTTGAAATTGGCATTGATTTTGCCGGTTGATACTGCCACAGTGGAGAGGGCTTTTCCTGCCATGAATATTTTGAAAACTCAACTGGGCAATTGAATGGAAGACCAATGGATGAATGATATGATGATTGTGTATATTGAGAGAGACATATTTAGTATTGTTAATAATGATGTTATTATTTAACGCTTTTAAAATATGAAAAATCGTCGAGGGCAGTTGTGAATGTACTGAATAGAAATATTATGAATCAATGTTTTAATTTTTATATATATTATTTTGGTTCAAATTATATATATATATATATATATATATATATATATATATATATATATATTATTACTATTAAAAATTGCCCCCACTAAAGAAATTTCCTAGCTACACTATTGGTGGTCAAGTTGATTTTTATTAATTCAAAAAAAAAAAAAAATTCAACGAAGTATGGACACATCAACATGACAAATAAAAAAAAATAAAATAAAATAACTCTTCTAACCCTTTACTTTAGAAGGTAAAAAAGTATCATTAGTCTATAATAGATGATGTTTTCGTTTTTTTTTAGAATTTATATTATTTTTCTAACAACTCATAATATGTTCTATAATATTAAATTTTTAAAATTAATTACAAAACTATGTGGCTGATTCTGGGACATTTTCCCACTCCTGTGACTCATGTCCAATTAAAATAATAATAATAATTAAAATTCATAATATTTTTAGTTGTGTGAGAACATATATCGGACTGTGTCCCGCATGTGTCAGTATCGTATCTATATAAGACAAGAAGATAACTAAAAGCAAAAACATTCATGAGCCCTAAATGTACGCGGGGGGCCCTAATTTTTATTTTAAGTATTATACCCTTATTATTTTTTCAATTATATACCTATAGAATATAACTATTACTTCCATCTCTCAGAATTATTAAAAAAATTCATTATTGCTCATGTGTACCATCCATTTTTGATCAAAACGGTGTCGTTTGGTGCACCGGGAACCCTCCAACACTTCCTCTCAAAATCCATATAATGAAAGGCCGAGCTCCACTTAGCATTATTCATATTATGAGAGTAGAATGGGACTAGGATGAAAAAGACTGTACTTTCATTATTGTGTTGTCTAATTAAATACCTTGTTGGACTTTCAACAAAGACACCACTGCCATTATTGTCAGGGGCGCTGCAATTCGGGTGAGCCCAATTCAGACCAATTTAAGCTCAGCCCCAAAATTTTCAAACTTAGAGCGTATAAATCAATTCGGTTTGCGCTTTGAATAAAAAGTGATAACCCAACTTCATTTCGAGTTGAACTTGAATTATTGTTGTAAGGAAACGTGCAAGTTTTAAAAACTTTTTGAGAAATTTTCGTACATAGATCTTGATTCATCACATAGAGACAAGTTTTATGCAAAAATAAAATATGATGTATCTTTCAATTAATAGATTGAATATTTACATCAATGTTTGAGTAAAATGAATGTTCTCACTTATAGTAGATCTCTTTCTTAGATGCCTCCTACTTGGATCTCTATCTTTCTGGTAATGATTATGCCTTTAGAAATCACCAATATACCTCGATGAATGACCTTGGAGTCAAGGCTTGTGGTAGCCTCATTCAGAAGAGAAAGCAAACCCTAAAAACTAGAGAGAGAAAATATATTCTTTTTTTTCTTACAAAAGTCTCTCCTAAAATATACATGGACCGATGTATATATAGGCAACATAAAGATAAGAAAAATGAAACAATAAATCATTCTCAATCTTTAATTCACATATCTCAATTTTAATAGGATTCCAATATCAACTTGGGCTATGGGTGAGAATCCTTTGGGCTTACTATTTTCTTGGCTATTATAAATTAAAAATTGGTTTGGTCCATTAAATCATGGACCCATTTTAATTAATTCATAAATTAATTTTTGCTCCACTAAAAGAAATTAATTGCACTCCAATTAAATAATAAATAATCTCTAAGTCAATGTTGTACTTTGACCCCTCTATGCATAATTAATTATCGGATAAATAAAGCCATCAATCTGACTACTTAATTAATATATTTATTTTGGTACCTTTGATTATTTCTGACTTGATCACAATAAAACATTTGTTTGACAAAAATAATAATTTAAATAAATAAATATATAATAAATCATTTTGTGTAAAACATATGAAGGCCTTCGAATTTAATTAGTGATCAACCATAATCAATACAAAATAAATACAAGTAGTACAGATACAAATATTAAGAATATAACTCTCTAACTATTAATTACATGCCGATTTATGGATCCCGAAATATACGCTGAACAAATGAAAGTAATTGTTAATTAATAAAAGAGTTTATACTTCTCTCATACTTGAGAGTCAAATGCCATGACAGTGATAGAGAGTAATTGTATACGACAGCTTTCGTAATATATCTCAACTTAACCCGGATCCAGTTCAAGTTTTAGTTAATAATGAGTCCATCCATAATTACCGACTATGAACTATTTATGATAACTATTTATATTCATGTATTGATCACCATCACATACATATATAAATATTTCTTGTAATCAAGTGGACACTATCAATTCCATAATGAATCGAAACATAATACATTGAATTCACCAATTGTATAAAATATAAATATTTCAGATATGTTAGGAACATATGTCACTTTAATCCAAATAGGAATTTGTTATGCCAGGGTATATAAATCACAACAACTCCCACTTACCCTCATAGCCAATTCGAATTGCATCTAACTTCAATGTTATCCAGGTGACAATCAAAACTATCAATCGATGACACCTTTGTTAATAAATCAACAAAGTTGTTTTCCAATGTAATGTTCTAGCCATAAGTACATTTTCTTGCCAGACAATATCATGTAGGACATGATACTTTTTCTCAGCGTAACTTGTTCCTCTATGGAACCTTGGGTCATTGGTTTGGACTACTTCTACACTATTATCGCAATATAACTCGATAGATAGGCTAGTATGCTCCACAATCTCTAAATCAGTGAGATCAAACCAAAAGGCTTCCTTTGCTACCTTTAAGGCTGCAATGTTCCACCTTCAGGTCTGAGTCAGCAGTTGAAATCTGCTTAATAATCTACTAATTGATTTCCCTTCCATTGAGTGTACATACACTAAGTCATGGACCTTATAATATCTACATCTAATTTAGAATCAGAATCAGCAAACCTGACTAGGACCATATCATCACATCCATAAATGAGTATGAGATCATTGGTTCTCCTAAGGTATTTAATGATATTTTTCACAACAGACCAGTTATCAAGTCCGGGATTGGATTGATATCTACTGATTATCCCTACAATGTAGCGGATGTCCTGTTTAGTATAGACCATGGCATATATGAGACTCTCATATGCCGAAGCATATTATTCCAATCTCATTTGCCCAATCTCCTCTCCTAGTCTTGGAAAATTACTTACTAGAGAGAGCAATCCATGTCAATAAAGTAAGAACTCATTCTTTGAGTTTTGCATACCAAACCTGGTCAAAACTTTATTAATATAGGATTTGTTAAGATAAGCTTATTTTCCTTTTAACCCAATCTTACAAAAGCTTAATCCTAGGAATATAACTTACATCTTGAAAATTCTCCATTTAAAAATATTTGAACAACTACCTTTTTACTGATGACAAAACTTCCACGTCATTATAAATGAGTAGGATGTCATCAATATATATATATATAATTAAAAAAAATAATGACATTACCCTATACACATATGGTTCATTCACTAAGAAATTTTCTGATATCCTTTTATAGATTAACTTGTCTTCCATATGTATCACTCTACTAGAAAGTTTTACAAGATCCCAGATTTTATTAGAATACATAGATTCCAACTCTGATTTCATAGCAACTTGCCAAAACGATCTGTATCCATATCGGTTCACGCTTTCGTGTAGCATACTGGGTCTAACCCATGTTTAACAGGGATGTTCAGAAAGGTCTCACTTAAAAAAAACATGATATAACAATACAAGAATCTGTTTACTAAATGATGCCGACGCATCAATAAGGAAGTCATATATAATTCTTAATTTCTATAATAAGTGTGTTCATTTGTGGTACATTTAGTACTCATACCATATTCTCTAACATAATGCTACTAGGTATGTGATTCATAATATGATCCTCTTATAGATAAACAGTGAGTGTAAACAATCAACTTTTATCATTGAGATCATAAAATAATATATCCTAGTGCTTTTAGAGTAGCCATCAAATCAAACATACTTATGATCTGCTTTTAACTTACTTGTAGATATCAAGCACACATGTGCAAGACTGCCCCATATGTGCATGTGATTAAAACTAAAATTTAGTAAAAAACACAGCTCAAAAAGTATCCTTAAGATAGATTAAGATGGAATGCAGTTCATAATGTGCATCGGTATCGATAAGGCTAAACTCTAAAATGAAAGAGATAATGTAGCATAACTGATCATAGATCTAACCATGTTTAAGTAGAATTCTATTATTCCTATTTGACACCTCAATTCATTGAGCGCCAATTGAGAAAAAACTGGTACACAACACCCTCATTGACATATAGTCTTTGTACTATCCTAAGAAATACTCATATCCACGATCAGATCGAAGTGTTTTGATAAGTTTACCTAATTTGTGCTCCACATCAGTCTTGACACTTTCGGAATATACCAAAAGTTTAAGACTTGTGTTGCATCAAGTAAATTTATCCAAAACATGAATAATCTTGCTTAGATGTTCATAAAACCACACGTGTCTGTGTGTACCAACTCCAATTGTTCTTTATGTCTATTTCATTTAGCTGATTAAGCCCTTAGAGTTATCTATCTTTCAAAACAGGATTCACTAGTTTGGTTTAGGCTCCCCTGCCTCACTAGGTAATAAACCATCTTTGACCAATCTTTGAATCTCATTTTGACTGATTACAACCCAAAAATAGACACTAAAAATACAATGAGTCAGAAATAACAAATTTTCTCTTAACATTCAATCTAAAAGATGCAACATTAGTTTCTACATCCTGCAAATATTAAGTGCTTATGGTTATAGTATATTGACCATCTTTCAATGCACCAGAAGCAATCACACATCTAATTAATTTTATAAAACCAGTTTTATAAAATAACAACACAGTTTTTATAAATCAAAAGTGAAACAAGAATTAGATTGCGTCTAACATCTGTGCATAAAGATAGTTCTCTAATACTAATATCCTCATACTCTCTAATTTCAGATATAATACTCTCATTGACTTAACTACAACCTTGGCATCCAGTCAAAAGACAAATATATATCCATATCATCGAGGCTTCTGGATTCCTGAAATCCTTGCAACGAATTGCAAACATGTTTAGTGGCTCCAGAATCTATCCATCAGGAATTAATAGATACAACCACATAACATGGCTCAATGATTAAATATACATTTTTCTATGCACGTCGTAGCTTTGACAGTTCGTCCTTTAGTGTCTTAGTTAGCGGCAAAAGAAACAGTTTCCTTCGCCCTCAACATACAATGCCTTATTCCCTTTGACCTTTTAGATACCCATGTTTTGTGCTAACCTAGTCCTATTATCATCCTCTTTTTTTTTCCTTTGCCCTTCCTTGGCCCTTGAAGAAAATGGTATAGACTATGTTAGATTGATAGGAACGCCCATACTTTTGATTATCCCTTCATCTGTTACCAATTCTATAAGAATATTAGCGAGTGTAAACTCAAACTGGTTTCTTATTTAGTTCACTCTAAAAGAGTCAAACAAGTTTGGTAACAAAGTAATAATCATGTCAACTTGAAACTTACCACTCAAGTCAGCACTATTGACCTCCAGTTAAATTTTTAAATAATAAACAATCATTTTTCAAAATTTGATCTTTTACTGGAAATCCTTAGGCTATCTTGATGGTATTTAAATCTGATATAGTACTTAGGCATACGTTCTATCTAATCTTACCAAAACATCTCATTGAGATTTAACATGATGCTTAAAGCAATTAATACAAATATTAACTTTAGAGCGTATTCGAGATAAACTCTAAAATATTACACCGAGTCATATCATTTGTCTTATGTCACTTATTACAAGCATTAATGTTCTCTCGGATATCTTAAAGTAAAATGGAATTAGGTATGGGAGTAGTAAACACATTTTGTACCCTTAATATTGTGAATAAAATATCTAAATTCCTTTTCCAAACTGTATAAATAAGGTCCAATTACATTGAATATGTAAGCAAGTAGATAAAATGGATTAGACATAATAAATCTGAATATAAATGCGTTCATACAATATGCAAGGAGAATATTAATACTATCATATATATTTAAAATTAAAATAAGTTTGTCAACCACATAGTATATTAAATCTCAATAGTATAGAAATTCATTATCACTATTGGTAAACAATCCCTTTTAATTAATGCGGATCCCTCAATTTCGTAGCATAATAAATCATACAATTAATACGTCAATAACTTATCTTGATGGAGGAGTTCATTATTACTATTGCCAAGATTCATTTGCTATTTGGCGAGCACTTCCATTAAAATAATATGTGAGTCTCTTAACCACTGTATGAAAAATCGGATAACCAATATGCCAATAACTTATTCGGTTGACGAAGTTCATTATTGTTATTGGAGGGCAAATCCCATCATTTTCATATCTCTTAAGATAATGTCTTGTCTCTATATATGAAATGATTTCTGATTTTGTTTAATCTTTCTAAAATCACTTAATGTAGACTATTCCGTTGGGGAGCAAACACTATTGATTTTAGATTGAGTGTATAATGTTATTAATGTTCCAACGAAAAATAAAATATTAAATATCTTGTCATTATAATCTAGACTCTTTAAATCATGCGTAGGGCCTTCTTTTTAAAGATTTAATTATAATGAACATTTAATATTTTTATTTTCATGAGACAATCATTCTTGTAATTTTTAGACTCTTCGAATCATGCGTGGGGCCTTATTTTTGAAGATCTAATTACAATGGTTATAATAACGAAGGCCATGGGGTAATGTATAAAAATCCCTGCTCCCACTCAATTTTTAATCATTCATAATTAGGGTTTTTCATTTATCCATATACATGATGCATGCAAAACACCTTGATTTTAATCTAATTAAATTTAAAAAATATTTGGATTTTAAATGATTCACTAATATTTAATTTGAAGTATACCTTTTTTTTTTAAAAAAATAAAATTTCATTTCCCTTTAAGTGCACTCTAATTAATTAGTAATAAATCCAATTATTTTTCATAATTTAATTAATATAAATTAAGTCATTTAAATAAATATCAATCCAATCCATGAATACTAATTAATTAATAATTATATATTCCATGCATTTCATACATCACATAAATAAATAAATGACATAATAAAGCAAGTAAATGAAATGACCAATGGATTTAGCTTTTAACATTAAAATCTAAATAATTACTAAGTGTTATAATTATTGCACCCCATTAAACTCCCACTGTAACGACCCGAACCCGAGGATCCGAATCGCTAACCGGGTCCTTACCCGAACCCGAGGTCAACTAAGGACACCACCGTCCTTTCCTAAGTCCATACATGATATACGTGTCATCCCAGGGTTTATAAAAAAAAAAAAATCACAGCTACAAAAGATGTCAGAACAGTTTACTAACCCATCTAAACTTGTGGTGGAGCGTCGTCCGCCACTTCCTTCCCATGATCTGAGAAAAATGTTAAAATATTGGTGTGAGCATAAGCTCAATAGGAAGTGTCTAAGACATATCTCTTATGACCCCGTGAAATCCATATAAGAAAGAGGTAAAAAGGAACGGGATCATACCATAGGGTAGCACATATTCCCAACCACAATAAAAAGTATATTGCAAATGTCAACCGATCACAGCTTTACTACAATGCCACGAAGTGCAATGTTATGCAAATGCCACTCCCTATTTCCGAAACAATTCTGTTTCAACAACCAAACCGTTAGTGTAATCCGACCCAAGGCACCTCCGAGGCGTCACGAAAGGAGGATTGACTAACTATCCACAACCACAAGGCACCTCCAAGGCGTAGCATCCAGCCTAATTAGCTCAACTACATTCCCTTCTAGACTACACTAACATCACGGATCACTAGGCGCCTCCTAGGCGTCCGGTTTTCGCAAACACTTTTAAAAATACTTTCCCAAAACAATTCCATTTGTTTTTCAAAATAAACAATTTCCCAAAAATCAATTTCGTTACTTTTTATAACAAACTTCCCTTTCTTTCCCCAATTAGGTGTATGAATGTTACATGCTATAACCAATAAAAAAAAAATCACAATCTTCCATCATGCGTAATCAACTACAACAACATAATATGCTTTAATAGAAAATTAAAAAAAAAAAAAAAATTGCCAACATGCACTCATACAATAAATCCAACATATACATATACAATTTTTATCATTTAAATACATCTCATCACAAAATAGCAATTAGCACATGGCAAACTTATTTTGCATAATAAAATTTCATATACAACATTTGTATCACATCTCAAGGGATCTACACCAATTAAGCATGCTAGTATCAAATTAATGAGGGAAAAATTCACCGAGGACAAAGAACACATGAATTAGAGCACCCCTACCTTGAAAAAGAATTTTCCTCACTAGATCATCAAAGCCTCAAACTTCAAGACCTCATCTGCAACTCTCGGGCCTCTCTGTGCACTTCCCAGTCTCAGCCCTCTCTTTGTTTCTCGAACTCTCGGTTCACTCTCTCACACTAAATTTCCTCTATATTTTTCTTACTGTTTTTGCTTGTTTGCTCAATGCACAACACACTTCAATATATATGCAAATTCATTCCACCGACACAGCCAAACGAATATCATTTTTTTTTAAACACAATATCTTTTCATAATATCACCATGTGCAAAATTAATTGGGTCAAATGTTCAACTGGTGGGACCTGAAAAATAAAACCATCATCACAATTTTTCTCTCTCTTCCCACTTCGCTAACAATCCCATTTCTTTTCTTTATTTTCGCCACCTGCCTCCTGTCTTCTAAATCAGACAGTATATATATATATATATATATATATACAATGTAAAAAGAAACCATTTTGCTCCTTAAATATCTCTTAAGTGAGCCCACCAATCCTTACTTTTCCTTTAGTCTTTCTTTTCATTCAATATATATCACTTAACAGATAACAAAATCAGCCACCAAATACAAGGCCACGTGAGTAGTCAAAGCCAAAATAGATTTTAGCCAAGCAAATATCCCAGTGGGACCCGCAAGAAACTATTAACACAATTTCGTCTTTTCTTTCTTCTTCCACTTTCGGCTGATGCATCTCCTTTATCCAACGTACTCTATGGGACCCGCAACCACTTACTATATACCATTTTGCTTATTTCGCTGGCAGCAAGCTTCTTGTTGCTTCCATCAGACACATATTATATATATATATATATATATATATATATATATATATATATCTATACAATAAATCATCAAACCACCTTTCATTATCCCCACCAAAATTCGGCACTTGCTCACTTCCTTTCTTATCACCATAGAATAAAATCATGAATTAATCAAATACCTATGAAATATTTTAAGTGGGTAAATTCAATTATAATCAAATAATTAATTATGATAATTAAAAATCATGAAGTAAATTAAATCTAACAAGAAAAAATCTGTCACACCCACTATCTTTAAATAATGGAGAATAATATTAAAATCCACTTTGGGACAATAATTTACTCATTAAAGAGCAAAAACAGTACAAAATAATCATTAAAAACAAGCATAAAGGTCCACCGTTAAGACCTATGCACCTGCAGGAGCCAAAACACTGTCCCAGATGGTCCCACGCGCGTCCCACGCTCCTGTCACGTGTCACATGCGCCTGCACGCGCTTGTGGTAGTTGGCAGCGTGTGGCACATGCTGCTACGCGCCATGTGGCACTGGCTTGCCTGGCGCATGCTCCTTACGCGTCGTATGGTTGGTGCGCATGGAGCGCACCATAAGCCCTGCAGCACCAAATCCTTTCAGTCGTATGATGATGATCTAAAGGCTGGTGGTGCGCGCGCATGTGAAGCGCGTCGCACCGGATCAGCTACCTCCCCTCCGGCGCTGACCTCGCCATCGGCAACTCTCCGGTCGCAGGAAAACCGCCGAAAAATCCAGAATAATATTAAAAAATTTCAGAAATTATAATTTGGCCCAAAAAATTCCAAAAAAATTCTAAAAAATTTCAAAAAATTTCTGAAGCCAAATTAAACTTTCTTGAAGCTTCATAGCATCCTTTGATGAAGATTACATGGCTTTAATAAATATTTACAATTTGAAATACAATGAAAAAAATTAAATTACATCATTGAACTTTCAAACAGTTAAATCAAAACTTTAATTACATTCATCCAAAGATAAAATTACATTCAATTAACCTATAAGCTTCATTCATTGCCCAAACATACATCATCATTCATTCACAATTATACATACATCATCATGTATCAATAAATATCAACATATTACATCATACATCAACATACATCAATATATATATATATATATATATATATATATATATATATATATATATATATGCATATATAATTTGGATCCATGAATGATGATTTTGATAAAAATATGATCTCTAGTAATGAATCAAACCATGCTTTGATATCACTGTAAGGAAACTTGCAAGTTTTAAAAACTTTTTGAGGGATTTTCATACATAGATCTTGATTCATCACATAGAGACAAGTTTTATGCAAAAATAAAATATAATGTATCATTTAATTAATAGATTGAATATTTACATCCAGGTTTGAGTAAACCTTAGATCTCTCCTATAAAGTGAATGTTCTCACTTATTGTAGATCCCTTTCCTAGATGCCTCCTACTTGGATTTTCATCTTCTTGGTAATGATTATGCCTTTAGGAATCATCAATATATCTCGATGAATGACCTTAAAGTCAAGGCTTGTGGTAGCCTTCTTTAGAAGAGAAAACAAACCCTAAAAACTAGAGAGAGAAAATATATATATATATTTTTTTCTTACAAAAGTCTCTCCTAAAATATACATGGACCCATATATATATAGGCAACATAAAGATAAGAAAAAGGAAATAATAAATCATTTTCAATCTCTAATTCACACATCTCAATTCTAATAGGACTCCAATATCAACTTAAGCTATGTGTGAGAATTCTTTGGGCTTAGTACTTTCTTGGCTACTATATATTAATAATTGGTCTGGTCCATTAAACCATGGACCCAATTTAATTAATTCTCAAATTATTTTCTACTCCACTAAAAAAAATTAATTGCACTCCAATTAAATAGTAAATAACATCTAAGTCAATATTGCAATTTGACCCCTCTATGCATAATTAGTTATCGGATAAATAAAACCATCAATCTGACTACTTAATTAATATATTTATTTTGGTACCTTTGATTATTTCTGACTTGATCATAATAAAACATTTGTTTGACAAAAATAATAATTTAAATAAATAAATATATAATAAATCATTTTATCTAAAACATACGAAGGCCTTCGAATTTAATTTGTGATCAACCATAATCAATACAAAATAAATACAAGTAGCACTGATGCAAATATTGAGAATATAACCCTTTAACTATTAATTACATAACTACCCAAAGTGCCGATCTATAGATCCCGAAATATCCGCTGAACAAATCAAAGTAATTATTAATTAATAAAAGAGTCTATATTTCTCTCATGTTTGAGAGTTAAATGACATGACAGTGATAGGGAGTAATTGCATACGACAGCTCTCGTAATATATCTCAACCTAATACGGATCCAGTTCAAGTCTTAGTTAATACTGAGTCCATCCATAATTACCGTCTATGAACTATTTATGATTATTATTTATATTCATGTATTGATCGCCATTACATACATATATAAATATCTCTTATAATCAAGTGGACACTATCAATTCTATAATGAATTGAAACATAATATATTGAATTCACCAATTGTATAAAGCATAAATATTTCAGATATGTTAGGAACATATGTCACTTTAATCCAAATAGGAATTTGTTATGCCAGGACATATAAATTCCAACAATTGTGTCGGACAACTCGAATCTCATCCTTAATTACAAAACTAGATGAACTTGATATATATATATATATATATTTGTGTTGGTTGTATGTGATTGATTGTTTTGTGGGTTCACTTAATTGGTTGCAACACATGCCATATGGAACTTTTTAGCTTTTGATCCATTTATTGTGTCATCCATTTATCTTCAATTATTTTAGCGGTGAAAAAGTTGTATTATTTGTTATTACAATATCAACTTGAATTGGAAGCTTGAATTTAGTCCGAAATTTTAGTTCGATTTACGAGCCTAAATTCAACCCGAGCTTAAACAATTAAAAATGGATTGGGTTCGGTTTGATTGTCGGATTGAATTAGGTTAGGGTTGAAGAATTCATACTTCGAGTTAAGCCTCCAACGTGCTCCAGTTGCACCCCTACAGTTGAACAAACCATTTAAGCAACAAAAAAATAACCATAAAAAGTAGAATAAGAAACATGAGGCTTGATGAAAGAGCTAGGAAGGCTCCAACCATATATATATATATATTGAAAAATGAATTTTCAAGTTACTAAATTATAGAGATAGTAAAAAAAAAATATATGATAGCATATAGTTTGACCGAGATAAAGAAGTGAAAACTAAAATTTTTTAATGGTGCCTTACAATAAAATTTTAAAAAATGGAAGATGATATAAAGAGGGGGAATCTTTCGGCTTTACAATGTTTTCTTTAGTATCCAAAATAAAAAATAAAATAAAATAAAAATTGGTTGGTGTGAAACCAAAAATAAAAAAAGGTAAGAGTTTTGCATATGGAGCTTGTGCACCTCACTGACATTAAGAGTTTTTTTGTTTTTTATGTGCAATAATTTGGAGTAAAATAATCACAACCACCGTCCATCACCACAATTGTAACTATAAATAGGTAACATCCCCACAGAAGACTATCAAGTATCAAAGTATCAAACAGAGTAAAAGAGTGATAATATTTAGAGAGAGAGAGCAGAGAAGAAAGAGATGGAAGTGATTGACGTGCTCCACATGAATGGTGGGATTGGAGACGCAAGTTATGCAAACAACTCTTTGGTTCAGGTATACATGTCTATTCTATCAGTCCATATGAATACATATACATATACACACACACACACACACACACACATATATGTAAAAATGGGTTAAATTACACTCACAAATTGAGATTCTTGTAGTACAACACAGGCGTTGAACTGCTTTGAAAGATGAGAACCATTTCACACAGTAGTGTGTGAAATGATCCTCTACGATAGCATTACACTTGTGCTGCACTACTGAGAAACCTCGGTCCACTCTCACACGAATACCCATCTTTTCCATGCATGCATTTCATCTCAAAAGAATGTATATACATACAGTCATACACTCAATCATCCCATGTCATATTATGAATGTAAGTAATATATATATATATATATATATATATATATATATACTGATTTGGTGTTTTTTGGCTTTAACAGAAGATGGTAATAGCAATGACAAAGCCTTAACAGAGAAAGCCATAATTGATCTCTAATGCAGCACATTACCAAAGAGACTTTGCATAGCAGACTTGGGTTGTTCCTCTGGAGTCTGGACCAAACACTCTGTTTGTGGCCTCTGAACTCATCAAGACAGTGGACAAGATATGCAAAGAACTAGGCCATCAATCGCCGGAATTCGTCGTGAACTTGAATGACCTTCCCGGAAATGATTTCGACACCATTTTCAAGTCCTTATTGCCAAGTTTCCAACAACAAATCAGAACAAAATTGGGGTCTTCTTTTGGCCCGTGTTTTGTCTCCGCGGTCCCCGGTTCGTTCTACGGGAGGCTCTTCCCTACAGAAAGTCTGCATTTTGTCCATTCTTCTTATAGTCTCCAATGGCTATCTCAGGCAAGTTTATGTATCTGTT